GACTTAAAGCTTTCTCCTCTTTTATAGACTGACAGCATTGGACTCCCAGTATGCATCGAAATGTGCATAAGGGCTCTACAAATGGAGTCAGATGATGGAAACACCAAGGCCACGGTGTGTAAAACGATTTCCTGTTTGCTTCCTACTGACTTAGAAGTCAAGCGAGCCTGTCAGCTGACAGAGTTCCTCCTGGAGCCCACAGTGGATTCATATTACGCCGTTGAGACTCTTTACAATGAACCAGATCAAAAACTAGAGGAGGAATATATGCCCATTCCCAACTCACTACGCTGTGAACTCCTACTGGTTTTTAAAACCCAGTGGCCTTTTGACCCAGAGTTTTGGGACTGGAAAGCACTGAAGCGTCATTGTCTTGCTCTAATGGGTGAAGAAGCTTCAATTGTGTCATCAATTGACTTGCTGAATGATACAGAGAGCCCAGAAGAAGAAGATTTTCTCAGTCAGGAGTTGTTTAAGAATATGCCAGATCATTTAGTTAGTGGTACTTATGAACTAAAAGATGTCACAGACAAGAGAGAGAAGAACAGAGAAATGAAGAAAATGAGGGAGAAGGGTTTTATATCAGCTAGGTTCAGAAACTGGCAGGCATATATGCAGTATTGTGTGCTGTGTGACAAAGAGTTTCTTGGCCACAGGATCGTACGCCATGCACAGACTCATCTGAGCAGTGGAGTATACAGTTGCCCTATATGTGCTCAAACCTTTTCCTCAAAAGATTCATTGATTCCACATGTAACATCACATGTTAAACGGTCATGCAAGGAAAGGCTAACTGCACTGAAAACAAACAAGAAATCGGCTAATCTTAAAATGGCCTGCCCAGTTTTTGCAGATTTAAAGGCCAAGACAGAAAATACACTATATAATAATAGTGCTTCCCTTAGGCAAAATGGGGGGTTTGTTGATAATGTTCAGGCCAGAGTGGACAGATGTAGCACAGAGAGAAGTGAAGAAAATGTATGCCCTATTGGAAAATGCAAAAGGAATTTTAAATTTTTCAAAAATCTTATCGCACATGTTAAGGCCCATGGGGACAATGAGGAAGCAAAGACCTTCCTTGAATTGCAGAGGAAAAAGGTTATTTGCCAGTACTGTCGCCGCCACTTTGTTCATGTCACACATCTTAATGATCATTTACAGGTCCACTGTGGTGTGAAGCCTTATATCTGTATACAGTTGAACTGCAAGGCGAGTTTCTTGTCTAACACTGAACTCCTTATCCACAGGAAAACACATTCTGTTTTTAAGGCTAGATGCATGTTTCCCAGTTGTGGAAAGATTTTCAATGAGGCCTTCAGACTGTATGATCATGAGTCACAACATTATAATACTTTCACTTGTAAAGTTGTGGAGTGTGGAATGGTATTCCATTCCCAAAAGCAGCTGGATTTGCACCAAGAAGAGCATGACACTGAAGAGGACAACACAGCTTCTGAACAGACTTCACAAAATATGCAGGCTGGCCCTTCACTCATTGAACAAATGCTTTTGAATCACACTGCACAATTACAAGATAATTCCCAAGAGAGCTGGAACACTGAGAATGCAGTTAATCCTGATCATGGAATGCTGCCATTGTCAATTGATAGTTTGCTGAAATCTTCACAAGCACCCGTGGAAACCCTAGGAGAGCACAGAGTGGTTTCCCAACCACAGAGTGGTTTTTCAACCAATCTGACACAGAGTCTACACCATCCTGTGATTGAGCCTTTGAATTCACACATTTCTGATCCTCATGGGCATGGAGAACGTTCAGGTGCTCATTGTTTTGATTATATTACACCACCTCAGCAGAATCAACCCATACGTTTATTTGAACATAATTTGGGTGACGTGCCACTTAGCTGTAATACAGATGTCTTACAGGGCCAGTCACAAATGTTCCCTGGTAATGTCAATAATGAATCGGTCAGTTGCAACTCGGACTGCAACTTACCATTTCCAGGACAGCAACATCCAATGTGTATCAGCAGCCTGTTAACAGTATCGCTGCCCCTAAACTCCATAGAGCCAACAATGTCACAACCACTTCTTCCAACAGTAACCTCTCAATCACTTGCTGAGAAACAACCAGAGAACTCTGTGTCATCCTCATCTGCCACTGGTCCTGCTCCAGGAGAGAGGGAACGTTTTCATTGTGCATTTGAAATGTGTACAAGGCACTACAGCTCATACAGAAGTGTTACCAAGCATATGAAAACGGTTCACCCTGATTTCTATGAGCAATGGAAAGTTGCGCGAACTAAAATCAAGATAACCCACCCTTCAGCACCAAGCACATCATCTGTTAGGCATCTGGGTTCTGTTGCCTCACTTCAAAGTCAGAACAGCAACCAAGCACTGGCTCATGGAGTTCAGAGGCAGAATGTTATCCAATCACCTCCATATATTGACCTTGGCACAAAGTATACTACTCTGCTTTCCAGTTCTTCATCTGCCCACAACCAGAATTCTTCACTCCTGATGGAAAATGTGTTAAATCCTATTGTTCTATCTCAACTAGGAAGTGATACAAGTCCAATAATGATGCAGTCCAAAGTTTTAGGTAGTCAAAGCTGGCACTCAGTCCTTGGAAGTGAACAAATTCAAAGTAGTGGCTCTTCCACAGTTTATCCATCTAATTTGCAAGTGAGGCCTCAAGTGAATTCTAGCCGTGTGGCTCTACCACTTAATATCCCAACGTCCTCAATGATAAAATCAACAATTAACAGACCAGCTGAGTTCTTGCAGTCACTTCTTATGGAAAAAGGGTCCCAGTCTGTTTCCCCCATGTGCTTAGATGGTGCAAAGGAAGTGTCACTGCAAGTGGATGACAGTCCTTCAGCATATACATCACAGATGCAAAGCAGTTTAGTCTCAGGTTCCAAGGCAGCAAATAAGTCGATGCTAAATCATGCACAGTCCAACCCTCTTTCTCCAGACTCTGCAAGCCAGAAAAGCATTCACAACCAACCCCAAAATGGTATTGTCATCACTGAAAATCAAAAACGAGCCAGAAGAAACAAAAGAACCAAATGGCCTGCCATTATAAAGGATGGAAAATTTGTTTGCTGCAGGTGTTTTAGACAATTCAATAGTCCCAAATCCCTCGGAGGCCACTTATCAAAGCGTACAATCTGCAAACCTTACGAAGAGGGGCAGCTGAACACAGATATGCCAACATCATTTCTCGACCTCCTTAATTCCGAGCAAACGGTTAGCACTGCTCAGCCGCAGTTTTCTTATAATCAGGCTGCTCTGTATCAAGTAAAGCCTCATCAGTCAGTTACAATGGCCACAAAAGAGTGCCCTACTACCAGTTATCAACAAGATAATTTGACGACATATGGGAATGGTGAGTCAAATGATGACATTCTTAAACAAATCATGGCTGAATCAAAATTGTCTGATCATTTTGTTCACACACCTACTCCTCAGCCATTGTTTCAAAACCCTTGTATTAGCTTTGGAGCCAATGAGCATTTGCCAGAAAGCTCAGTCATACTGCATACAGAAAATGCCCAGCTAAAGACTGAGGTGAGACAGGAGGTCAACTCTTATAGTATAGCTCATTATCCTCAGCCAACCATTGATACATTTGGTGGAAGTGAATTCCCTGACCCACTTCCTTCTACAAACCTCACAGAAAACCCGGCTCACTCTGGCGTTGTTCCCACAAACCATGTAACTTCTGGGCCAACCCACAGTGAATTCTATAACTCTGGGACAACCATTCAGTCACTAGATACAGGCACAAACCCAATAATGCAAACAGAGTTAGCTGATAGTCAGCTTAGTGGCAAGCAGGGTGAGACACAAAGGAAGACAACAGAGAAAAATATTAAAAAGAGACTACGAGAGCAGATTCTTTCCGGTGACTTTCAACGTAGAAACAACACATGTCTTTCAGACAATACTGATCCCAATGACGATACAAAGAATCCCATGTCTTCTGGTCAAATGTGTAGCCCTTTCAATGACTCTGTACTTGATCAGATTCCTTCTAATGCAAAGAGTGACATAGGACAAGTCATACAAGAAAAGTCTGTAATCGTCCCAGGACCCTCTGACAAAATAAAACGACTGAACATGCAAAGCTTTACTTATTTCAGAGAGACCTCCACACTGCTACAGGAGGTAGTGAGCCCCACAGGAATATCTGACAATGATACAGAGCAGGAACCCAAGATGTTATCTGCCAGCCAGCAACTGTGGATGGCAGAAATTCAAAGTGCATTTGAAAGGCTGAATTTGGTCAAAGAAATATCTGATCAGATGTCAACTTCCATGAAGCAAAATACCACTACTGTCAACAGCCAGACAGGACTTGCAATGGTCCCTTGGCATAGCTTCACATCGTCCCCCTATGTTAAACCGTTTACTTGTGAGAAGGAAACGTGCACATTTAGTTCAATGTCAAGTGAATCTCTGTGGAAACACCTTTCCAAAACTCACAACTACACACTTGAGATGGTGAATTTGGTGAAAAAAAGATATGGCCTATATGCTCCCTTCAAATGCCAAAGGTGCAGTAAAACATTCACTCGAAACTCAAACCTTCGCACTCACTATCATTCAGCTCACAACCTGTCAGCTAAAGAAATTGCAGATCTAGATATGAAGCGCAGGCTGGCAAAAGCAGGTGCATCTGCTGCTATTCAAAAGTGGCCTGTCGGTACCAACCAGGCCCCTGTGGCTCAAACCAAAGTGGTTACTGATCCAGCATTGGTGAACAGGGCTCAACTGTGTTCGCCCCAAGATGTAGCAAAATGTTATTCATCACTTGCATTTTTACCACATATTAACATGGACAAAACAAAACAGAAATTTCAAAATGACAACCGTTCAACGGTCATTCATCCCTTGCAAACAGCCCCTATGCACAACCAATCACCATCTCCACAAGTACAGGCCCAGACCTCCACAGAACCTCAGCCTTTAAACAAACTATCTATCAACAGGCAGCCAATGGTGAAGCCAAGCATAGATATTATGAAGAAGTCAAAAGAGAACAAGGCAAACTCAAATGATGCCATGAGTTCATACAGACCATATCGCTGCGTTCATCAAGGCTGTTTGGCAGCCTTCACTATCCAACATAATCTCATCCTCCACTACAGAGCTGTTCATCAGTCCTCTTTGTCAGCATTGGAGGTGAACAAGGAGCAGGACCCAGGAGATGGATTTAATGAAATAATGGAACATGATGAGGATCTAGAGGCAGAGATCGTCAAAATTACTGAATTCAGATGCCAAGTCAAAGACTGCTCTAGAGTTTTCCAAGAGGTTCCCAACCTTTTGCAGCACTACCTTCAGCTGCATGAATTCAGTCTTGATAAGGTTGGTGATCTATTTTCAAGCATCAAGCTTGACAAGTTTACTTGTGGCCACCAAGAATGCACAGCATCCTTCACTACTTTCTGGAAGTATGTTGGGCATGTCAAAGAAAAGCACAAAGATATAAAGTTAGCCAAACCTGAATTAAATGGCTCATTCAAGTGTGAAATTGAAGGCTGCGACCGTTCATATGCAACAAAGTCAAACCTTCTAAGACATGTCATGAAAAAGCATCAGGACTTGTACCAGCCAAAACTAAAAATTCCACTGATTAAAGAGGATGGAGTGAAACAGAACTCAAAAACATTGCATCACCAAATTACAAAGACAAGTAATGGAAAAGAAAATATTGAGAGCAATAAAAAGATCCTACAGAAGGGGAGTGACATAAAGAGAGTTGGCAAGTCAAAAGCCAATCACTGGACAAAGTATGGAAAACCCTCCTTGAAATCTAAAGTGGAGGCATCTGCAATATGCACTAAGAAATTCCCTCTACAATATCCTTGTATGATCAAAGGTTGTGAGTCAGTCATGAAATCAGAGCGGGGTATATTGAAACATTACATGGGGCATGGTCTGTCAGAGAAGTACCTGGAACAGCAAAGGAGTCACTTCATATTCTGCAAAAAGTTCCCCCGGCAGAAATACCAGTCCATCAGGAGTGACGACTCAAAATCTGACAACACCTCGGATATGTCAGACAATGAGCTGACAACAGATGCTGGACTAAAGGAAGGAGAATATGGATATTCAAAGCCTGTCCTACGAAAAAGGACCACTGCAGAAATCCCTACTGAATTGTTAGAGAGCAAATTATCTAATGAGGAAAGTTCCGATAGTTCTGTGGTGATCAAACGCAAACGAGGGCGTCCACGCAAACTGATTGAAAAAATAGTGAAACGCAAGAAAATACCACGTACGACCAAGATCAACATAGTTTACAGCAAGGGCGATGAATCAGACTCATCCGGCCCTGCAGTACTGCAAGAAGAGATGGCTGAACAGAATGCTCCACTGGCCTCCTTTAAACCTATGGGATTTGAAATGTCGTTCTTAAAATTTCTGGAACAGTCAAATCAATCTGAACATGTCCTCAAGAGGAAGGCTGATGTGCCACAAGCATGGAGAAAAACAGCTGGTATTAACACCAGTGACATCTGTGTCAGGTTCAGTAATCATCAGAATTTGAAATCACTTAGTAAGGTTAAAATAATCATAGATGCTGCATTTTCAAGTGTTTCAAACCTTCTGTTGAAACAGCTACAGACCATGCAGACCACAGTGGTATTAAAAAAAATTGCCTAACTTTTGTTCTTTAAAGCAGAATCTCAGGAATTGATTTGAGTACAATTTGCTGCTACTGGAGCCCTACATATGAAATGCTATTTTACACATCCAGTTAAAAGCAGTTGTTAAAAGTTACACTGTTTAATCTTTACAGATAGTCTTTTTTTATAAAAAATGTGTATAGCATGTTTTATTTATAGATTGTTCAAAAAGATTTTGCTGAGAATGAAAGCCTTCTTTAGGTCTCTTAATTATCCCTGTGGGACTTCCAGACTTGATTCTGTTGTTGTGTGTACTGTGTGATTCAAAGATGTTAATTACTGTGTATGTGTATATATCTTGAAACGCCCCACTGCCACAAACAGTCTTACTATTAAACTGGATTTCTTTTTACCATTTGACTTGTTTCCATCATTTGCCATTTAGGTTAGTTTATGCTTTTGTTTGTTCAGTTAATTTATTTGGTACAGTGTTATAGGTAGGTTGGAGCTGCTGCATGCAAACTGAATTGATAAGTTGTTTTAAACAAATGAGCTGAACCAGTAACCTTTTTTCTTTGCATTTTGTTTGTCATTTTGTAATCATTGTTGGAATCTTCATATTTATCCTCACACATAACTGTATATGTCACTATATACCGTATTATGTATACAATGTTTATTACATTATATCTGTACACCATTAAGAGAAGAGTGCCTGGCTAATTCCACAGATACTCCCTTCTCTCTTTAAGCCATACACAAGGTCAGGTTATAGATAAAGGACCAACCATTAGTGCATTGTAGTGTCTACGCTTAGAGACTTTAATATCCAACTCAGATGCCCCAGACAGAGGCACCAATTTCAACTCTTTTGCATATTACATCAGTATCCAATAGCATGCAAACACCCACATGCAACATAAAGAGTGACAGCAATTCTAGCCATTCATGGATGTGCTTTTAGAATGAGTGATCCAAATAGAGGATGATATATGGAGATGCTGTGGGAGACATCTTCAGACTTTTGGGTACAATTGCTCATGTTACTCTGTTAGTGTTTGTATATTGTTGCACCTTCTGGTCTCCTTGATGCATCAAGTCTACATTAAAATCTTCTGCATAAGACATCAGCTGCTGCCCGAGTTCTCCTTTCACCAGCTTCCAGAAAACTTCCATAACAAATTGGCATCACAAACATGATCTCAACACAGCAAAGATACAGTAAGTTGCAAATTTAAAGTTGATTTGCCTTACTGCGTCAGAGCTTGATGAGATCCTAAAGAAAACATGAACATTTCAGCTATTTTGACTAAATCAAAACAATTGAAGGCGAGTATGTGTGTGCAGGGGAGCCTGTCGTTTATTCTTAAATGACTGGTCTCATGCCCAACGAGAGTCAAATCTAAATTGATATATCTGACTTCACGCTGAATGAGCAGAAATAAAAGGAAGTGAACTGAGCTGTAATGACAATTGGATAAAGTATATTTATAATGTCATACTGCACTCTACTAGAGTGCTGAATCTATACTAAATCTGTTTACCAGTGGTTGGTTGGTTTCTGGGGGCACAACCCAAATGTCGCCTGATCACACCCTAACTTTGGTGTAATCAGCAGTTTCGTGGGGAGCCTGTATCCATCGGGAAATATAAAAAGACTGTGGAGCATTAATTGAACCCCACAGCGTTGGAGGACTACAACATGGTTGTCATTTTTCTAGACAGCGTAGAGAAGGTGAACGAGCGGGATTGAAGTGAATGATACGTTCGTATCTGCCTCTCGCGCACCAGTGGTTAAAGTCACGTTATCGAAGGTCCCCACGTTTATTAGAGATGAGACACTGATAAGTGAACTGTCGAGACACGGCAAGATAGTGTGTCTTAGTTAAGAAAAGTGTCCTCAGGGTGTAAATCTCCTCTTTTGAAGCATGTGGTGTCGCACAGAAGGCACAACAGGAGTGAGGAGCTGAATCTGGTGTTCAAGCTCAGAGTCCAGGAGTTTGATTATGTAATTTTTTAACACCAAACAACACAAAGTGTTTCAGCTGTGGAAAAAAAGGTGACACCGGTTAGGGTGGTGCTGAGCACAATCTCAGCACAACCAGTTGGGGGGTGGGCATCCTCTTCTCCAAGAGTTTTACACCAGAGTCCTTGGAGGTGGAGCAGGTGGTGGATGGCAGACTGTTGGTGGTGAGGGTAAAGGTTGAGCATTTTAACTTTGTTATAAATGTGCACGCTCCGGTCTTAGGTCCCAACAGAGTCTGTGTTTTAAAGGTGTTAGACACAGTTTTAAGCAAAGTTAAGATTGAAGATGTTTTATTTTTAGATAGATATACATACTTTATTCATCCCCAAGGAGAAATTCTTGAAAAGGAAGAGATTTTAATTGTACAGAGGATAATTTAATAGTCAGGAATCACCTGGAGCCTCACAGTGCATTGCAGCATGTACTGAGGCAACTGCTAGAGGCTCATGACCTGTGTGATGTGTGGAGAAGAATAAATGGAAAAAAAAGACAGTACACCTGGACTCATTCCAGAGGAAATGTAATTTCCCTGACGAGATTAGACCGTTTTTATTGTTTTAAACATCATTTTGACATCTTTAAAAAGTGAAGAATGGTCAAAGCAGACTCATCCATACTCTGCGTTCTCCTGAAGGGCAAGAAATCAGGGAGAGCAAGGAGATTGTTTTAAGGAGGGTGGGGGGGCAAGGTCTGGTACACATTCAAATCAGATTATCAACATTCAGAATACAATTTGTACAAAAATACCTCTTAGGTCCACAAGATGTTTGGAGACAAGTGACAAGCAGCATACTGAGGAGGACAGCTGGTCTGGGGTTAGACACGGCACTGTTCTTCATTATCTCCTTTTCATCAGTCACTTTTTAAGTCTTTTAAATGGAAGAGACTAGGGCCTGCATGCTCGATGCACTGGTTACTATAAGAGCTCCTAATCAACCAGACTGGATGTCCAGGACAGCTCAACACCAGGCCTCACCAACATACAGTGCACCACTGGAGCTGTCACCTTTAAGAAGAGTAGTGGATGCAGCAGGTCCTGGACTAACCAACATCCCAACTACAGCTTCCCTTCTATGACAGAGGTCCATGAGACAGACAGCAAACTTTCTAAACATGTGGAGTAAAAGATTATAGGAGGAGGAGGTAGAGATGATGCAGGAATTCAGCGCTGGAACAAAGACTCCTGATGACTGCTCCAAATCTGGATGGGCTCACAGGACCCTTCTTAAATGAAACAAATTGTAGACATGTAGACTTGTACACAGCCAAAGGGAGAGCTGTGTATAAATATTGTGTTTTAACCATAGCCACAAGAAATGGATGGTAATGTGAACCAGTATGGAGGGTTATATATAAACAGCCTTTAAAGAAAAGGACTGAACCCCAGCAGTGGCAGATTGAACATGGAGTAAAAGCAGTGAACACTTTTATCTCCACCATCAACCCAAGAGTTTCTTTTTTGTTTCAAGTTTCAAGTGTCTGTTTTGTGGAGAAGAAGAAATGATTGAAATGGGCGTGGCAAAATGGCTTCACCACTCCGACTAGATTGAAGCCCCTCAGTCTCATTTCACCGATCTTCACGAAATTCAGTACACTTGTGCATCCTGACTAGAATAACAAAAAATACTAGGCAGCCATATGATAAACAAAACAGGAAGTCGGCCATTTTTACTTTAGTGGCCATTTAGGCCATTGGACAAACTCTTCAAAAAGCTTTCGTCAGATCAACTTCAAATTCAGTGAGTGTCATCTTAACTCCATGGAGATTAAAACTAAATCAAAGTTTTAGTGGCTCCTGGACTGTTTGCATCTTCCCTCCATCACTGTTATTACAGTCAAACTACACACTATTAAACATTTTTAATGTTAGAGCAGCTTCTATTACTCCACCCAGGCTCTAGACTTAACTCTTAAAGAGATGACTACATCAAGTGATGTAAGATTTATATAAAGAAGTTCTTTACCATTGTTCTTTCTCAATTTTAACAGTTA